TCATCGTTCTTGGACACTATCCTTCTGTACCGCCCAGGCCCTTCAGAATTGACAACTTTGGCCGAAGCTGCCATATATGCCGAAGAATGTGGGCAGCTCGCACGTTCGCTTACTACGCACAATCAGGCTCACCAGAAGCACTCCCATGACCGACGCTCATCCCCTTCATCATACGCGCTTGGAACAATCGTGTTGCTCTGCGTGCCATCATCTGCCCCAGGCCTTTGCTGAAAGTTCATAACCAAGTATGACGGTCCGTACCGGATCCTATGCCAGACATCACCAGTCAACTGCATGATTGAACCTATGTTCCACGCAAGTTAACTGCCGTTTTTATGCTTCCGCACGCATGGGGAAAGCATGTTGAGCCGAGTGCAAAATGAGCGAGAACAGGTCCTAAACACGAAAGAAATCACGAAATATCAGATTGGATGGGGTAGCGTACACGCGTGCACTAGAACAATACGATAAGACAAGACGCAGACGATCAGATACAAATGATGTTGGCAAATGGTCAGGTCACTCCAGGCCATCCACGTCAGGGACAGTGCCAGCGATTAAAAACAGGGGAGTTGGCCGACTGGTCTTCGGAAGATCAGTGGCAGTGTGAAAGCACGGGCCGCGTCTGGTGATGCGGAAGGCTCAGAGTAGCGGGGGGACAAAGGACGGAGGGGTGCGTAACAAAAAGTGGTCGGGGAGAGTGGCAACTATAGGGGCACCGAGGCAGTGTCGGGCCTGCCACAGCAGGGCCTTCTCTGGCGATGATGTTCTTTCCGAAGGTGGAAACATTGAAATGCTAGGCCATGAATCACCATAGGTAGAACCAAATGCTCTGGTGGTTGGCATTGCCTGCCTCGCACAGGCCGGTCGGGGCTCCAGTGCTTGTTGCTTTTGAAAGTCTGGCGATGACGGCTGTGGTGGATGCTATTGACTATGTCGTGCTAGTTGTCGCATGCGTACTAGGAGACCAGACAAATTCTTGCCTGGCGAAGTATGCGGCGAGTTTGGGCAGGTTGCAATTCTTGACCTTGATGACATGACACAGAAACCTTTGCACTGCCGTCACTGCACTCTCATGTTCCGCGGCCTCTAGGAAGCAAGGTGCTGTCCGATAATCTTGTACCCTGCGTCCATACTTGTTAACGCCAACTTTGCTGTACACCCAGCTACGTTCCCCAGAACTGCATAAAGGCATCACCTTGCTGCTTCGTGCGAGCTGATTGCCGTCTAGCCGATTCACGGTGGATTTCTCGTTAATACAGACTGCCTCATTGTGATCGGCATGGCGCTCAACTGGTATGCTGGAAGTCTAACGTACTTCCCGTCATCGCTAGCTGAGCCACATGCCGGTATTCGGGAAGTACTGATGCTGGCTTCATCCGTTTGTGGTGCATCGCTTGTATCGCTCAAGGTGCGGTGGGCAGATTTCGTCAAAATAGGCATGTCTTTCATGAGTGTGTCGTCGGCAGCCATGGATTTATTGAGAGAAGCACTCGACCAACGACAGTTGCGATGGAGACAGGTCTCTATCTGGCTGGTCACTGAGGGTCCTCTTGTTGCTGGATGCCTGTGACTGCGGTTGTTCAACTGCGAATTTCAGAGACGAAAGAATGCTCGGTGTCAAGCAATGGAGCTTCAATCGGCCACCATCTATGGTGAGCTGAATTTCACCTGACAAGAGGTAATCAGCTCCCAAAACCATCTTCACATGCAAGTTTTCCAGGACAGGAATGGCGGCGAGGAACTTGCTCGGAGCTTCAGTGTGTATCTACAGATCCAGTGCACTGATTGGCAACACGCCCCTGCCGAGGCCGTGCAAGGATGCATCGGACTAAGGCTGGAAGGTGACCAGGGCATGACGTCAATGTAGTGCGGTACGTGGAGCTCCTGTTTGTACAACTGCCGTGAGCTCGCCGATTCCGTCGACATGGACTTGTACCATAGGAAGCGGCTGCGTTGGGTATTAGGCTGCTCGATGTCGTGCATGTGCTGGTGCCACATAGTCCAGTAACCGAAACTCTGCGGGAGATCGTTTCTCTGGACTGGATGTGAGAATCAGCCGAGTCGGATGCTGTTGCGAGGAAGTCAAAAATACTTGTTGATGACCTGCAGTGTTTAGGTGCAGCCTCAAGGACGTGCCCATGCTTTGCTCCACCATCAGTAATCGTCTGGTTCGCCCCCCCCCCCCCCCCTTTTTTTTTGCTCGGAAGACCCTCAGTAGAAAGAAGGTGAGGTGCATTTTTGGGGGGCCATGCATATCTACTGATCACGGCGGGGATTAGGTGCCGCTTGGAGGACCTGGACCTACGTTGAAAGGCTGCCGTGTTGATTCTAAACGAAAATGAAGAAGTTAAACGAACAAACAGATGGCACTTCACGTATACCCTTGAAAGTGGGTGCAGTAGGCAAGTGGAAGTACACGATTTCCGGCAGTGTGAAAAAAAGTGGCCAAATTTTCGGCACCATGCAGTACTTTGGCAATTTTGTAATTAAGGAGCAGTTTTACTACTAGCTATGTAATCGATTAATCAAATTACTCGTAAATATCAGCATAGAAGTGTAAATTAAAGGCTCATTATTTTTTGGGGTGTCATATGTATTGCATACGATTTCCTTGTGGTAAAAGAGAGAAAAAAGAAAGGTCAGGGACGATATAGCTATTCATTGTGTTGTGGTAGTGAGCATAGGCCAAGCGGGACGCTCAAATAGCATGAAACGTGCGTCGCATCAGCAGGAGGAGACTCGCCTGATCGACTACAGAGTGTGCGTTTGCTCACCCGTTCCCTTTTTTCATGATACTCAGCAATGAAATATATGCTAGAGGGAATCGGTGGAAGCACATGAAATTCCATGAAGTCTGAGAGGCAATTAACTGAAGCATATCAAATCTAAAGAAAAAAAACATGTTCTTGACCAGGCGTTATCAGAAGACAGGCTAATCATCTTTTTAGAAAAATGAAACTAGAATGTATCATGTCCTGCATTATATCGGTATGGTTTTTACGGCACATGGGCATGATGGGACTTAATTATTACCTGATTCTGATATGCGCACTGTTTTCATATGTACGAGCTGCGTCACTTGCAGTGCATGTGTGTCTTGGTTTTGTTTTCGAATTATGTTGCTTCATTAAACTGTTGCTATAGTCCACACTTGTGTTCGTGTATCCTGTTTTGCGCACGTGTCCTACTAGGCTTGGTTCGTAGTTCTTTCAAACGATGTGCCAGCAGCTTACTGCCATAAATCTTGTCAAGCATATGCAAACATGGTACCAAACAAAAAGAAGGGATGCAGATTTGTAGAAGCAATAAACACACCTTCAACATAGCCATGTACCACAGTTGCATGGTGTTCTAATGCATGTTCGATCCCGGCCGCGGTAAAGTCATTTCCACGGTCGCTAACACGGTGGTCAAAACATTTCTGGATTATAATAATATACTGTACATAACTTGAGATAAGTAGCTTCCGATTTTTTTTTTAAGTTTTCGATACGCTTGCTAAAAAAAAGCATTTATAAAACGTTTACCAGTTCTAGTAATCTCATATGTCATTTTCTGCTGTTAGTGTTGAAAATTCACAATTCTAGCTAATAAAGCAAAGAAAACGCTGTAAAATAGCTTACTTGAACTTGTAGTTTTGGTGTCCACGTTGCTGGTGCTACTGCCGCCAACGAAAAGTAGCCATGCGCCGCCACCGATAATTTTACTTGAGGTGCACCGACTCGGATTGATTCCCACGCTGCCGCCGGTCGAAACCGCCTAGGCACACACCTGTAGTAATACCGTACCGTATTTGCGTACCGTATTTCCAAAACTTGCTAAAAAACTAATGAAGTGCATGGCAAGAGCGATTTGCAGGAATCAGATGGAGAGAATGGCAAAACTTTGAAGCCAGTGCTCACAAGTGTGTTACATTAATATGCTCAGGCTGCTTGTATGTGCCTCGGGCCTCGGTGACAAGCACGCTGCCACTTTAAATGAACTCGAGGCCATCCTTATCACTTCTGGTGTTCGAAACACGTGCATCATGGACTTTTTCGGGGTTTTTTTGTTTTGTTTTCACTTGTAACAAACTTGGGGATACAGCAAACAGATGCCCCGTCACGCTGAGGTTCGTTATAACCGGCATCAAGAGGAAATTAATTGTGAGAATTCTTAGAATCCTCAGCCCATGTATTTGCTTACTTTCGGTTTGTAATAATAATAATTATTATATTAGAGATATTGACTTTCAAGGTAGAAACTTGCACCTTTAACATGTCAAAGAATATGCGAGCCAAATTTCATATCAGTCCGACTATCAGAACTATCAACAACATGATGGCCAACTCAAGAAGTGGCCCAAAATTGGATCTTGGGAAAAATGGACTTCAAAAGTATGAGTGAATGCTCATATATGCAGAAAAGAAACGTTTTTTAAGATGATTTCTTCGATCATAAGTGCTTGGCAATCATGGTTATTTTGAGCATGTGGCTTTAGGGAACTCTAAATGCGAAATACAACAGCAAGCACTCTGGTGACAATTTTCAGGGGATTCCAAACAATGAGCTCTTTTTAGTTTTTAGCAGTCCCTTTGTGCTCTTTAACAGCAATCTTAACCTACTTGGAATTTAATTACAATCTTCACAGCTTTTATCATGAAAGTATAGAAAAACCAAGCTTGTAAAAGTAAATAAAAACAACTAATACGTAATTTTGGTAAGAACTTGCGGTTTTTCACTCGCATTTCCCCTTAAAGATCTTTAGCCTTATAGCCCGGCAATATGACACAAGACAGAAGGGCTAAACAGCAAGAACTTGTCCTAATTCTCTCTTGGTCTCTGCCTATATTATGCTAAAGATCAGGCCATACCAGCTTGCCCTATACATCCTCTGAAACATTAGTGTGATTGGAGTGGCCAGTTGTTTAGGCTTTTTTTTTTGTACCGTTGTTCATACCGCTTATAGCAGCTTGTTTTATTTATTACTTTGAATGCCATTTGATTGAAATTGACAGGTGAAGGAAGACTTCCGTAGTGCCTTGTTCAACCTTGCCCTCTTGCTGACGGACTCAAACCGGCCACTGGAGGCTGTTCCATACCTTCAAAAGCTTCTTCAGGTCAGTGCACTTTGCCCATGATGCCAAAAATAGCGAATATTCATATTTTAGCTTTTTCATTGTAATAACATAGGAGGTCCCGCCTGCGGTTTACTACCTTGGGACCTCCTCCTGCATACTTACTCACAATGTACACTTCTGATGCTAATAAAGAAACATTGATTGATTGATTGATTGATTGATTGATTGAAAAAAATGTTCGAAGCCACATGTGAAAATGCCAACGTGTCTTCCTGCTGACCAGTTTACAGGATGACGGATGCTGCTGTCACCGCCATCAGTGCACAGCTTGAATGGCTTATGGTTTGGCCTTTTATTTTCTGGGCAGAGATTAGCCCAAATTGCATATTCGACAACCCTGTTGAAGCTTTTTTTCACAATCACACTCACGTAACAATATGCTGCATATTTTTAACATCACCCCCCAGCTTATTTTTCTTAGGGTGCACGTTAAAAGAATCCCAGGTGGTCAAAATTTCTGGAGCCCTCCACTACGGCATCTCTCATAATCATATGGTGGTTTTAAGACGTTAAAGCTCAGATATCAATCAATCAAAGCTTGTTTTTCTTAGTCTCTGCTCTATGTGTTAGTACTGATAAATTGCAATGGTTGTGTGGTTTCCACTTCGCAGGACAGGTTCAAATTCTTAGTTGAGGACCGCAGCCAACGTTCGACCAAGAAAAGAGTCAACCACCCTCATATCCGAAAAAGTTTTTTTTTTCTTAGTTTCTGTCTGATGGCTATTTTGCCACATGCTTGCTCGTACTATTGGTAACAAAATCCTTGGCTTTGTTGCAACACAGATGGAATACACAGGAATAAGTATTGCTCAGGCAATACTTATTCAGGCGATCTCAGGCAATTCGCGGCTCCAAGTGAGCGCCCATCACCCAGCAGCCGCGCCTGCTATCCGCACTAATAGGGTCATCCTTGAAAGGAGACATGTTAACCACGTTGGGTGTGTTGAGAAGCTGCCGCATAGTTTCTTTTTTTTTTTTCTGTGTCGCACTCGCTGGCCCGAAAAAGAAGAAAGCAGTGTCCAAATACCATTCCAGCATGCGGCAATGTGTGCATTCGCAGTGTAAAGACGATAACATATCGCTCTGTCAGTTCCTGAAGGATGAGAATGACGCGTGATGGAGAACAGCGCAAAACAGAGACTTGTGCATTTGAAAGAAGGTAACAGACACTACGGCAGTATTTTTCTAATCAATTAGCTCGTGATGACCTAATTCTCCTCAGTGAGCACGCTAATATTTAGCTTGTGTGCATTCTGATCAATATTCAAGTTTCTCTGAGCACGGAGTATATCTTAGTTTAAATAAGCAAGTGCTTTTGGAAATTTGTTGCATTACGTGTGTAACTTTTTTTTCACATATGCTTGTTTTCTGTGCAAGTCGTAGTGCTAGCCAGGCTCAAGGTAAGGTTCTGTAATCTTTCCCTTCGAACAATTTTAATTTCGCTTGTGTGTATAATGTCACGAGGCTTTATAACTTCTTGGCGATTTATTAAGCCTCCAAGTAGCTAGCTCCTGAAACATGCGTTCGTTGCGGCTGGCTCTCGAGCTGAGAAGATGCACGAGATCTTTTTTCCCTCAGGGCGAGAGCCGATCTTGCCCTCAATCTACTAGGTGCAGGTGGCATTATTCCCCCCTTTCGAAAAGAAAAAGTACTAAAAGAGAGAAAGAAAAAGACATAGCACCAGCGCGACGCTACAACATAGGCGCATGAAAAAAAAAATAGAAAACTCAGATAAAGGAAAATTAGAAATCATAGAGCGTGACAATATAGTCGAGCTCACATATAACGGCCCCACTTAAAACAAACTTTCGCTTAAAACAAACAATATCCGCGTGACCGTGAAAATATACATTGTTTCAATGACACAAAATCGCACTTACAACGAACGTCTCCGAGCGCCGCCGATCGGTTGCAGCGAACAGCGTGGGCGCTCTGCCGAATTCCCGGGAAACCTTTTTTGACCACGGATGAGGCATCGGCGAGGTGCCCATAGATTCTTATTGTTGAACGCTGACCCTGCCTATGCGCCCCACTCACGCCAGAACCCAACATCGCGTGTTCTGGCTATGTGTGTTGCGTGTGTGGTCAGGGTGTTGGACGGGAGGCTTCGCACGCTTTTTCCTGCCACTCAACGAAACGTCAAAAGTGTGACCGCTTGGCTTGGGCGTAACCCGCGTGTTAGGTGCCACGTTGCGGAGCGCTTGCTCATAGCTGTTGACCACCTGGCCGCCAACTTGCTGCTTCGGGCGTCACAGTATTCAGCTGTGGAGATCGTGAATATTTAATGGGCGGCGGTGATGGCTACATGCACGCAAAACTGTTTTCGTGAGGCCGACTTCGTCGACATCGGGCCTGAAGCTTCCGAACAGGACCACTGCAGCGGGGATTTGTGGCAGCGCGTCGACGACTCCAACCTGGCAGAGCAGGTGGGACATTTGTTGCGATAGTTTAATTACGGCCGATGATGATTCCGGCACCGCAGAATCGTGCACAGATTAGGGCATTGTGAATTAAGTACGCGGCAAGAGCGATTGGGAGGAATCGAATTGCGAGAATGATGAAACTTTGGAGCCAGTGCCTCATGCAGCTTATGCCACGGGCCTCAGCGAAGAGCATGCTGCCGTTTGAAATAACTCCAGACTGCCCCTATCGCTCCTGCTGTTCGAAACACGTGCATCACGGACTTTTTTGGGCAAAATATTTTGTGTTATCACTCGCAACTTTTTTGAAAGCTGTATTTCATATTGTCACATAATACAAGAGGAGGAACACACACAATGATTTATTGAGGGCGAACTTGTGCCCAGAAAAGTAGCTATGTCACAAAGAAAAGTCTGCTAAAGGCGTTCCGCCTACGTGTCCCTTTCTGAACAACTGCTCTGTCAGTCTTCCCGGCTCGTGCTCGTACACCAGAGGCATGTGCTGCTCTGCCCAAGATGCGTGAGCAGGCGCGAGACACAGTAGACGCCCACATAGCGTCTCGTTGGTTGCGAGGCACTGTAGACGGTCACATAGCGTCTCGTTAGTTGCGAGGCTCTGTGGACGCTCACATAGCGTCCCGTTGGTCCTCTTTGTAAAATAATTAGTAGGAGCAATCTCTCTAGCATTACTCCCCCTCCGAAATTCGCATCGTCTCGATGCGTGAATTCGGAAGGTTAATAGTCAAGGGGGTAGATGTTTCATTCTCTTTCGTGGTATGGCTTCATGCGGACAACGTGGACGACCTCCGCATGGTTTTGCCGTTTCGAGCGCTCTTGTCCGTCGGGGATTACTTCATAGGTTAGGTCACTTAGCCGGCGAAGGACCTTGTATGGACCAAAGTACCGTCGAAGGAGCTTTTCTGACAGCCACGGCGTCGTATTGGTGTCCAGATTCATACTTGATCACCTGGTTGATACTTGACTCCCCTGCGGCGCAGGTTGTAGTAGTCTGCATCTTTGAACTGTTGTTAACGTATTTGGTGCCTTTCCAACTGGCGTGCTTCTTCAGCTTTCTGCAGAAATTCGTCAATGTCAGATGGCTCGTAGTGGTCATTGTCGACTGGGAGCATGGCGTCGAGAGTTGAATTGACTATGCGACCATAGAGAAGCTGAAATGGGGTGACGCGGGTGGTCTCTTGGAGGGCCGTATTATAGGCGAACGTTGCGTGAAGCAGGATTTCATCCCACGTTTTATGCTCCAAGTCCACGTACATCGACAGTACGTCAGCGATCATGCGATTTAGGCGTTCCGTTAACCCATTCGTTTGGGGATGGTACGCAATGCTTTTCCTATGGCTGGTGTTCGTCATTATCATCAAACATTGTATCAACTCTGACGTGAAGACTGCTCCTTGGACGGTGATTACTACCTTTGGGGCACCGTGTCGAAGAACTATGCTGTGCACGAAAAACTTGGCTACTTCAGCTGCCGTTCCTCGCTCAAGGCAGCCGGTTTCAGCATACTGCGTTAAGTAGTCGGTGGCGACTACGATCCACTTCTTGCCAGTTGATGACATTGGGAAGGGCCCAAGAAGATCCATTCCAACTTGTTCAAATGGTGTATCAGGCGGTTCTATGGGCTGGAGCAGGCCGGCCGTCTTCAGTGGTGGTCTTTTGCGCCTTTGACATTCGCGACCTGTCTTCACATATTGCTGCACGGACGCCAGCAGCTTGGGTCAGTAATACTTCTGATGAATTCTGGCAAATGTCCGGCTGACACCCAAGTGACCAGACGATGGTTGATCATGACAAGCTTCTAGGATTTCGGGTCTCATTGCTAACGGAACGACGAGTAAGAACTTCTCTTTGTTATGCCCGAAGTTCCTTTTGTATAGCACATTTTCACGGAGACAGAATAAAGATAATGTTCTCTTAAATACACGTGGGACCTGGCCGGCACGCCCTTCGAGGTGTTCGATCAATGGGAGCAGTTCTGCGTCAGCTCGTTGATGCTCCGCAATATCTGAGGCTTTCATCACACAGAGAAGTGTCGAGTCGTCTTCTTCTGAAGGAGTAGAGTCAAGTGGCGATCGTGATAAGCAATCGGCATCATTGTGTTTTCGCCCACACCGGTATACAATTGTAATGTCGTATTTTTGCAATCGGAGGCTCCATCTGGCAAGACGTCCCGACGGGTCTTTGAAGTTCGCCAGCCAGCAAAGTGAGTGGTGGTCGCTGACGGCACGGAACGGCCTTCCGTAGAGGTATGGTCTGAACTTGCTGACAGCCCATACCACTGCCAAACACTCTTTTTCTGTCGCGGAATAGTTTTTTTCGGCTTTTGAGAGGGTTCGGCTGGCGTAAGCTATCACTTTTTCTTCTCCATTTTGCCATTGTACGAGTATTGCGCCGAGACCGATATTGCTTGCGTCTGTATGGAGTTCCGTGTCAGCGGTCTCGTCGAAGTGGGCAAGGATCGGCGGGTTTCACAAACGTTGCTTTAATTCGTTGAAAGCTGTTTCTTGTTCTGCACCCCAAGCGAATGATTCTTCGTCTTTT